ATGATTTTTCATAGTATTCTCTAATAATTCTTTGTATTTCTGTGGGGTCTGTAGTGATTTTTCCTCTCTCATTTCTGATGCTGTTCATGTGTGCAGACTCTCTCTTTTTCTTGATAAGTCTGGCTAGGGGTTTATCTATTTTGTTAATTTTCTCAAAGAACTAGCTCCTGCTTTCATTGATTCTTTCTACTGTTTTATTCTTCTCAATTTTATTTATTTCTTTTCTGATCTTTATTATGTCCCTTCTTCTACTGACTTTGGGTCTCATTTGTTCTTCTTTTTCTAGTCATTAATTGTGAGTTTAGACTCTTTGTAAAGGATTGTTAATCTTTTCTGAAATAGGCCTCTATTGCAGTTTACTTCCCTTTTAGCATGGTCTTCACTGCATCCCACAGATTTTGTGGTGTTAAATTAGTGTTTTCTTTCGTCTCCATATATTGCTTTATCTCTCTTTTTATTTGGTCATTGATTCATTGATTATTTAGGAGCATGTTGTTAAGCCTCTATTTGTTTGTGGACTTTTTTGTTTTCTTTGCATAATTTGTTTCTAGTTTCATACCTTTGTGGTCTGGGAAGCTAATTGGTACAATTTCAATTGTTCTGAATTTACAGAGGCTCTTTTTGTGGCCTTATATATAATCTATTCTTGAAAATGTTCCATGCATGCTTGGAGAAGAATATGTATCCTCCTGCTTTTGCATGGAGTGTTCTGTAGATCTGTTAGGTCCATCTGTTCTAATGTGTTCAGGGCCTCTTTCTCCTTACTTATTTTCTGTCTGGTTGATCTGTCCTTTGGAGTGAGTGGTGTGTTGAAGTCTGCTAAAATGCATTCATTGCATTCTATTTCCTCCTTTAATTCTGTGTCTGTTTCACCTATGTAGGTGCTCCTATGTTAGGTGCACAGATATTTATAATGGCTATATCCTCTTGTTGGACTGACCCCTTTATCATTATGTAATGTCCTTCTTTGTCTCATGTTACTTTCTTTGTTTTGATGTCTATTTTGTCTCATACAAGTACTGCAACTACTGTTTCTTTCTCCATATTATTTGCATGAAATATCTTTTTCCATCCCTTCACTTTTTGTCTATGTATATCTTTCAGTTTGAAGTGAGACTCTTGTAGGCAGCATGAGATGGATCTTGTTTTTTATCCATTCAGTAGCTCTGTCTTTTAATTGGTGCATTCAGTCCATTTATATTTAGGGGGATTATTGATAGATATGTGCTTATTGCCATTGAAGGCTTCAGGTTCATGGTTACCTAAGGTTCAAAGATGGGTTCTTTACTAGCTAACAGTCTAACTTAACTGACTTCATACACTATTTTAAGCTCCGTCTAAAGGTTCTTTTCTTTCTCCTCTCCCTTCATTTTCTTCCTCCTCCATTCTTTATATATTAGGTATCATATTCTGTACTCTTTGTGTATTGCTTGACTGACTTTGGGGGTAGTTGATTTAATTTTGCATTTGCTTAGTAATTAATTGGACTACTTCATTTACTGTGGTTTTATTGTCTCTGGTGACAGCTATTTAGCCTTAGAAACACTTCCATCTATATCATTCCATCCAAAATACACTGTAGAGATGGTTTGTGAGAGGTAAATTCTCTAAACTTTTGCTTATCTGGAAATTGTTTGATCCTTCCTTCAAATTAAATGATAGTCTTGCTGGATAGAGTATTCTTGGTTTGAGGCCCTTCTGTTTCATTGCATTAAATATATCATGCCATTCTCTTCTGGCCTGTAAGGTTTCTGTTGAGAAGTCTGATGATAGCCTGATGGGTTTTCCTTTGTACGTGTTCTTTTTTCTCTCTAGCTGCTTTTAACACTCTGTCCTTGCCATGTCCTTTGCCATTTTTATTATTATATTTCTCAGTGTTGTCTTCCTTGAGTCCCTTGTTTTGGGAGATCTGTGCACCTCCATGGCCTGCAGGACTATTTCCTTCCTGAGATTGGGGAAGTTTTCAGCAATGACCTCCTTAAAGACACTTTCTCTACCCCTTTTTCTCTCTTGTCTTCTTCTGGTACCCCTATAATGCAAATATTGTTCCATTTGGATTGGTTATAGAGTCCTTTCAATATTCTTACATTCCTAGAGATCCCTTTTTCTCTCTGTGCCTCAGCTTCTTTGTATTCATGTTGTGTTATTTCTATTTCATTTACCATCTCTTCTACTTCATCTAATCAGGCTTTAAATCCCTCCATTGTGTTTCATTTCAGATACTATATTTTTCAAAGTTTCTATCTCTTTCTTGAATTCCTCCCTGAGTTATTGAATATTTTTCTGTAGCTTCATGAGCATGTTTATGATTTTTATTTTGAAATCTCTTTAAGGAAGGTTGGTGAGTTCAGTTTCACTTGGCCCTCTTGCTGGGTTTTGTGGGATTATGGATGAAACCAGGTTCCTTTGACATTTCATATTTGTACGTAGCACCCTCTATTGCCCAGAAGCTCTACTCTTTGGAGCTGCTCACCCCCTGGTGTGATGCATGGGGTCACAGGTTAGTGGCACTGGTGCCTGTTGGGAAGAGAGCTCTTTTCCTGCTTCCTGGCCACAGTGCCTGCCTCCACTGCTAGGGCCTGTGGGTGGATTGCAGAGGGAGCAGCCTATGTGTTACATCCTTGTAGCTCCGTAGGTGTAACCACCCTCCAGCTGGCCTGGCACAATGGTGGGAGCAGCAGGTTTCCAAGCAAGTGCTAGCTGGGAGGAATGAGTGGCATGCTGCACAAGGCAGGGCCTTGGAGCTGCATTGCCAGCCAGGGGGATGGAGCACCTGAAGCTCCTTAAAGTTCCCAACCTTCTAGGCCTCCACCCATTCCCTGCTTCATTTCTCTTCTTCCTGCTGGTGAGCTGGTGTAGGGAAGGGCTTGGGTCCTGCTTGATCATGGCTTTGGCACTTTACCCTTTTTTGTGAGGTCTGCTCTTTTCCCCAGATGTAGGCAGCCTGACATGGCATTCTTTCCTGTTGCTCTTTCAGGATTAGTTGTATTTGCTATATTTTCATAATGTGTGTTGTTTTGGGAGGAGGTTTCTGTCTCACTTCTCCTGCTGCCATCTTTTTTTTTTTGAGAGGGCATCTCTCATATTTATTGATCAAATGGTTGTTAACAACAATAAAATTCTGTATAGGGGACTCAATGCACAATCATTAATCAACCCCAAGCCTAATTCTCAACAGTCTCCAATCTTCTGAAGCATAATGAACAAGTTCTTACATGGTGAACAAGTTCTTACTTAGTGAATAAGTTCTTACATGGTGAACAGTGCAAGGGCAGTCATATCACAGAAACTTTCAGTTTTGATCACATCATGAACTATAAACAATCAGGTCAGATATGATTATTCATTTGATTTTTATACTTAATTTATATGTGAATTGCACGTTTCTCCCTTATTATTATTATTATTATTATTTTTAAATAAAATGCTGAAGTGGTAGGTAGATGCAAGATAAAGGTAGAAAACATAATTTAGTGCTGTAAGAGGGCAAATGTAGATGATCAGGTCTGTGCCTATAGACTAAGTATTAATCCAAGCTAGACAAGGGCAACAAAACATCCACGGATGCAGAAGGTTTCTCTCAAAACAGGGGGTGAGGTTCTAAGCCTCACCTCTGCTGATCCCCAATTTCTCACCTGATGGCCCCCCTGTGACTGTGCCTGTCTTAGGTTGTTCCTCCCTTGAGGAATCTTACCCGTCTCTGGCTAACCAGTCATCTTCCTCGGCCATACAGGGAAATGTAAAGTTGGTAAGTGAGAGAGAAGCAATATTCTTTGAAAAGGTTAGCTTTTTACTTCTTTGCAGATTTATGCCCTGTGGCTTCTATTCCTGCCGCCATCTTTAAGCCGCACTCTGATCTCTTACCTTGGTTTTCATGACACTGTTCTCGTTTGTTTTTCAATCTTTGCTTACTTTGTATTTTCTAATTATTAAGTTTGAAGTTCTTAAGGCTTTGTCCTAGGCTTTTTTCTGTTTTTTATCAAACATTCTCAAAGGCACGCTTCAGATAATACCTGTAGATGATTCACAAACCTTTATCTACCTTCTTTTCTGAGCTTTACACCATTGTGCCCATCTGCCACCCATATTTTTCTACTCTATTTGTTCTTTCTTAATTGAAATATATTTAGTGAGGGGCTATTTTTTTTCCAGGTATTTTAGTGGTACTAGGAGTGTCTTAAAAGTATTTCCAGTGGAATATAATAAAAGCAGAATCCGTGATTCATACTGCCTGCCATAAACAATCAAGTGAACAAATAAAAACAACCAAAATAAGATCTCTATCTTCATTGTTCTCACTCAACTATTGAAATCACCCAGTTCTTCTAGCCTGAAATCTTGGGATCAGTCTTGATTTCTCCCTTTATCTCAGTACTTTCCCATCCTCACCCAATCTTATCTAATCCAATCCAGTCTAAATCAGTCAATATGTTTAACTCAGTGCAGTGTTACCAAGGTCTGGCCTTTTTACCTTCCATGTAAACACCTGCCATTCTTTTCACTGTTAAGATCCTACCCTCAGCTACCATTACCTTTTGAGTAGACTGCTGCAGTTCCTTGTAATGGGCCATACATGGCATTAAACATTCACTTTTGATCCACAGTCTGGCAGTTTGCCACATGACTCCAAACTTGATCTTTTAAAATATTTCTTAATTCATCTTTGTTTCAGTTTTCTTATCTATAATAATAGCCCTTCTCTCATAGGGTTGCTGTGAAGATAAAAAGAAGTATTATATTGAAAATACTTGGAATACTGCCAGGCACCAAGGCTTTAGAAAATTGTTTTTGAGACCATATACATTGTTACATTAAGCCAACTAAAAGGTGTAATGAAGACAGAAGGAGGTTTATTAATAATAGATTTGCAAGAAGTAATTATTGGCTTGTTTACACTTGTATATGCTATACAAGGAGCATATACATTTTCACAGAAAAAGAGTCTGCAGGCTCTCATAATGCATGACCTTATTATGTATAATTTTTTTCTTAATTACAAGGCTAAGAAGCACCAGGCCTTTCTAGTAGAGACATGTGAAAATAACGTGAAAGAATTGGAAGCGATCTTGGACAGCTTTACTGTGTCGGGCCTGTGGACATCAGGTTAGTTGAAGGTATAAAATGACAGATGCATCTGTCAATGTTCCAAAGTCACTACATTTTGGGAATTCTGCAGATGCCTCTTATAGTCCCTCATCTCAACATGTTTTGATTTGATGACATGATAAGAGCAGTTCTCACAGCAGTCAGTTGGCCTAGCTGGCTGAGAAAGGGTGACGGAATGTGGACCTGCTGTTGTCCTCCCAGAACTTGATTTACAAGTGTTGGGGTCTGTGTGATTGGACAGACAAGGGCTCACTTGCTGTGTTCTGAATCCAACTGAGAAAAAAGTCCTTATAGTATACCTGCAAGGGGAACAGATGTTTCGATCAAACTGAGCCAAATTCTGAGGCAACCTTCAGCAACTTAAAGGTCATGCATTGAAAAGGTTATGTAGGACACAGGCTGTACTAGAGTGCATATTCTACACTCTTGCTTTCTAAGCTGGTTTCTCCCTCATTTCCTACCACTATATGTATATATTCTTCAGGTAATAGTGCTTAGGTAAAATGTTTTGGTTTCACTATTAGCACAGTTAATAAGATAAAGAAGTATAAAAATTGGGTATTAGGTAGGCTTTTTTTGGGAACTAACAAAGCTATTAGTTGGCTAATAAATGCTGTCCATGAGTTCTACTTCCTTAATTTTTTATGTTTATGTTATTATTTGTGCTATTAGAAGCTTTAACTTACTTTACTTTTCTATCTCAGTTTTTGCCATACTGTCAGCCTCAAATTATTTAGTTGTTTTCTGATTCAGTTATGTTCTTCAAAGGCACATAAAATTGAATTCCTTACATGTTAAAACTGAACTCTGGAAGTCTGTTTTTTAAAGGCATCAAGCAATTACTTGGCAAATACTGTTTTTAGGAAATTTTAAGTTCAGGAAAGTTTGTTGTCCTCAAAAAAGCAGAAATTTTGTGACCATCCTTCTGCATTTCTATATGGGTCTGAAATTTTCCTTTGGATCTGCAAATTTCTATTGGTGAACTATTAGAAATTTAGTGTGCTTTGCTGTTAGCTGTTTTTCTGATTTGCCTTTATCCTTCATGTCTTTTTTATCAGCAATTTTTTGAAATTAATGTATAACTTTTTTTTATTTTTACTTTACCCCAAAGCATTGGTGTTTCATGGTTTGTTACTATGCAAAAATCAAGGTGTATAAAGTGACATAAAAAATATAGATATCCATTCTTTTTGATAAAGCTTTAGAGGATAAAATTTTCTTTTGGCAGTCATACTATTTTATTATTGAGTTGTATCATTGCTTAATGATGTTAGGATCTTTAAAAGTTGTTAAATTATTATAATTTCATATGCATCAATATTTTTAAAATATTTCTTCACAGAGTTGAATTAGAAAAATAAAAACAAAAAGGTCACATACCTCCTTTGAATTTTAAAAGGGAGTAACAAAATAACAACAAAGGCAACTCACAAGCTGTTACTAAGCATATAGAAAAACAATTGTATTACAATTTTTCTTTTTCTTTATACTTTTAGTAGCCATCCTTTTTTGACTCCTACTTACCCATATATATGCACACCCAGTATATTACAGTGAAAGCATTCCTGGAAAGGGGACTGTACACTGAATTAATGATTTTTGAATTGTTGTAGACTAGTCTTTGTTTCTGTATAGTGCTGGTTATTCACTCTTTTACCCGAGAATTATTCTCTGGTCTCCATTTTGCCTCGCATAGGTTGGCCTTTCTGGACTGTGTGATCTAGGCGCCTTTGCCCTCTGGCTTCTGGTTGGATGTAGACAGTAGGTGCACCGGTGAGCAATTGGGATGGTAGAGGAAGAAGGAAAAGACCAGGATATGTATTTCTCCTGCTTCTTCTGTAGTGTGTTCTTGGCGGTGGCTTCTTTTTTCAGCAGCTATAGCTCCTGGCAAACCCATCTCCTTGCACAGGACCTGTTCCATAGACACTTACATCTATCTCCCATTTCAGGAAAACTAACCCATAGTAGAAATGTAGAAGGATGGTAATAATAATAATAATAATAATTTTTTTACTTGTTCTTTAAAATGGAATGAATGAAAATTACTTTTTTGAATGGATTTTAGCCCAGAGTTGACAGTAACTGCCAGGTGTTCTGTTCCCTGTCTTCTTCAGATTTTGTGGTCCTCTGCATTAAGAAATCTTTTTGAAGTAAGTGTGACCCATCCACTTATCTTCATGTAGCAGATAAAGTGAAGTTTCAGTTAGTCCAAGATAGTCAGGAATTTATTTATTTAGCTTGATCTTCTCACCAGTGATCAGTGTGACAGTTTACACCTTGTTCCCTAATGTGTCCAGCACTTTCTCCCCCTCTCACTAACTGGTCTTTCTGCTTTCACCTTGCTCCCCTTTAGTTTGTTTTTTTCTACAACTGTCAGAACTATCATTTGAAAACCTAAGCTAGAACATACGTTTCCTTTGTTCTAAACCCTTCTGGGCTCTGCATTTCACTAAGAGCAGAAGCCAGGGTGCTAGGCATGGCTTGCAAGACCCTACATGTCTGCCCCCCTTTATCATGCTTTTGACCTTTCCTTCTCCTTCTGGCCCCTGCCTCTCTCTCTTTGGGCCACTCTGGCCACTGGTGTTTCTTGAACACACCAAGCATGCTCTTTCCTTGGGGGCCTTTGTGCTGGCCATTCCATCTGCCTGGAAAGCTCTTCATCTAGCTATGTCTGCACAGCTCTCTTATCTTTCTGAAATTTATGCTCAGTGCTTACCTTCTCTGTGAAGTTATCCATGACTCATTCCCGTGCCACCTGTCTCACTACCTCTCTTGTTTTTCTGAGCTACTTTTTTTTTTTTACTTCTCCATGGCACTTGTTGCTCTCCATCATTTCTAACATACTCCATTGTATGGTGCATTTGTTATTATATCTATATTAGTCAGTGTTCTCCAGAGAAACAATCAATAGCATATATATATATAAACATATATATTTATTACAAGAATAGACTCATTTTGTTATGGAGGCTGGGAAATACCATGCTCTGTCCTCTGGAAGATCAAGAACCAGGAAAGCCAGTGACATGATTCAGTCTGAATCCAAAGGTCTGAGAACAGGAGGCTGCTTGCTCTAGGTCCTGGAGTGAAAACGCCAAAGAACCAGGAGCTCCTTCTCCAAGGGCAGCAAAAGAAGGATGTCCCAGCTCAAGAATAAAGAGAGGGGGTTGGCAAGAATGGACTAACCGTTCCCAAAGGGAAAGGGACTGGGGAGGACTGGTGGGAAGGGAGGGATAGGGGTGGGAAAAAAGAAAGGGGGCATTATGATTAGCATGTATAGTGTGTGTGGGGCACGGGGAAGGCTGTGCAACACAGAAAAGACAAGTAGTGATTTTACAGCATCTTACTACGCTGATGGACAGTGACTGTAATGGGGTGTGTGTGGGGGACTTGATGAAGGGGGGAGCCTAGTAAACATAATGTCCTTCATGTAATTGTAGATTAATGATACCAAAATAAAACTAATAAAAAAAAAAAGAGAGGGGGTCGGAAGAACTGGATGATGCCTACCCACACTGGTGAGGGCAGATCTTCTTCACTCAGTCTGCTGATTCATATGCTAATCTCTTCCAGAAACACCTTCACAGACACACCTAGAAGCACTAACCAGCTACCCAGGCATCCCTTAGACCTGTCAAGTTGACACATAAAATTAACCACCACATATATATCTTCAGTAAATATTATTCAGCCATGAATAAGATGGGAATTCTGCCATTTGCAACAACATAGATGAACCTAGAGGATGCTGTGCTAAGTGAAATAAGTCAGACACAGAAAGACAGATACAGCAAGAACTCGCCTATATGTGGAATCCAAAAATGTTAAAGTCATAGAAAGACTAGAATGGTAGTTGCCAGGGGCTGGGGTTGGGGGAAATGCAAGAGATTGGTCAAAGGGTCCAAAGTCACAGTTATATGGTTCAAATTTTAAAATAGTCAATAGGAATGGAAGTACAATGTAGAGAATATAACCAATAATATTGTAATATCTTGGTATGATAACTGGGGTAATAACACTTACTGTGGTGACCATTTAGTAATGTACATAATTATTGAATTACTGTGTTGTACATTTGAAACTAATATAATATTATTTGTCAACTACATTTCAATAAAAAATAAAATAAAATATGGGGAAAAAAACAAAACAAAGAAACAAACAAAATTACCACAATGTCCAAGCTCCATGAGGGCAAGGATCTGTGTCTCTTTTATTTAATGATGTATTTTAAGAGGCTGAAACAATACTTGGATGCTAAGCAGGCATTCAATAAATGTTGAATATTAATGAATAAAAGCATGAATGAATGAATATCAGGTTGAAGGCCTATTTTCATTTTAATGGTTGAGGTTCTAAAGGTAGTCATGGAGTGTGTTTCCAAATTATAGGAGTTCTTTGGGTAGCATTCCATAGGAGTCACCAGGAAGATTGAACTTCAGCAGAAAATGTGCACTCTCACATGGGCCATAGAAGTGTTAATTGACCTATCATTAGACAAGATAGCCTCGATTTACTTGATCAGGGACATTTATTTATTATTTCTGTTTTCTGCTGTCCACTGAAGTTAAAGCATTAGAGCTGTTCATGTCTCATTTCTTTTCTGGTGGTAATTCTTACAGTCAGGCATGTATAGGGAGAAATCCTTTCCCACTTTGAACTCATGTGGTCTTTCTCCCTCAAGTGTTTCTCTAATACAGTTTCACCTTTGCCTGAGGATGTTAGCAAACATATAGAATGTGACTTTTCCTTCATTAGGCTCATGAAAGGAAGTTTTTCTTGTGTCTTGTGGATGTTCCCTCAGGGTGGTTGACTTTGGTGGTGACTGAGATGGAACCCTCCAACCTACTTCACCTTTCCTTCCTTGAGGAAGTCATTTGTAATACTCCAGAGGAATTACTTTTCTTTGTACCGGAGATGCTGAAGGACCCTAGGAAATAATAACAGCAGCATTTGATGCCTTCAGGCATGTGTATGTCACTCAGAAATTGGACAGT